GAGAACCTGCCGTCCGCGTAGGAATCCACGCGAGTTTGTAAGGGGAAAGCTGAGGGCCCCTAGAGAGGTCAAATGAGGCCCCCGCGGACCACACAGGACGGAGTGAGTCGTGGTGAGACATGACTCAGGTGCACTAGATGGCCCGGTTTGCTAGCTTCTTTCTTCCCTCCAAACCTGAGTTGGCTTTCCCCCCAAACGTGTGTCAGGCTACAGTTCTCAGCGTGATGTAATTGTCCTCTGTTTTGTGAGCTGATGTAATTATCTTAGGCGTTATTCAGCCCTAACCTCTACGATGGTTCATGAAGGAGCCCTGGTGGCTACGAACCCAGAGGTCATCAGTGTGAACTCACCACTCTTTCTGTGTGAGAAGGATGAAGTAGTGTGCTTCCATAAAGATGAACCAGAACAAAACAAAAGAAGCCGCCCCACACTGCCATCAAACCAATCCTGACCCATGGCAACCCTATATGGGGTTTCTGAGACAGTTAATCTTTGTGGGAGCAGACAGCCTCATATGTATTTGAACCACCCACCTTGCAGTTAGCAGCCCAGTGCTTAACCCACAGCGCTGGCTCATGAACAGCAGAACCCACTGCTTCAGACTTGATTTCAACTCCTAGCAACCGTGCAGGACAGGGCAGAACTGCTCTGTGGCTGCCAGTGGGTTATGATGTCAGAGTTGGGATCAGGGCAACGATGTTAATGAGGCAGATACCTTCCATGGGATTAGGTTGTCTTTTTTCTGTAATTGTGAATTAGGTGAAGGTTTACAGAGCAGATCCTCAATGTCACACTATGGCCCATGATGCTTTTAAATAAAATGAAAATAGAAAAAAATGTTATGAAGAAAATAGTGCTTAGGGGAGATCAAGGCAATACCGTACACACAGTTCCCTCGTTACATTTTATTTCAGAGCATCGGGGGCCACATGCAGTCCCCGGGCTGCCAGTTTGACACCGCTGCACTAAACAATTTATACCCATTCTGCTTTACCCCATCCATTGCAATCCCTCAATGTCCCATCACTTATCCCACTTCCCCCCTGTGTTTTTTATTTTATTCCTCCTCTTTCTCTGACTCCTCTGAACTTTGCCTGTGGGTCAGTGCTGCTCGTTTGATCTTACGGAGGTGGTTATTCTAAGGTGTGCTGTACCTCAGGGGTGGGATTGTTCCCCTGCTCCATGGTTTGATTGAAAATCGATTGAGAGGTCAGAGGGTGAGTTCGCTGCAGACCTGAAGGGGATTAGGCTGCACCTTGAATCAATCTCTCAAGATTGGTGGGACCTCAGTGCCGGGAAGAAAGAAAAACTAGGATCCGGGAGCTGAGAACTCCAAGGAATGCTGAAAGGGGTCAAGGACCTTCTTCCTAAACTGAGTCAACACACAGACAGAGAGCCTTGCCCCAGAGCTGGCAGGCTGAATTGAGACTGCTAACCTCTGAAACACTGAGAGAATAACCGTGCATTCGTCAGAGCCCTGCACAAGATACTGAAGATACAGCTCAGATTCCCACATCACCTCTATGACCCCAGGCCCCGGTACCTTTCTGACGGTGAGTGACCAGCAGGACCCGACCAAAGCGGCCCTGGCCCAGGGGACGCACCCCCTGGTACAGTTCATCCACTTCGGCCTGGACAAGGGTCTGGGCACTCAGTGCCATCATGTCCTCCAGGGCCAGTGCGGCCTCCTGGCCTTGCCGAAGCTCCTCCTCTGTGAGGCTCCCCAGTGCCTCCGGAGCCCCGTCCTCGGTGGCCCCCACATCCACTTGTGCTTCTTGTGACTGTTTACCGGGCATCACTGCAGAGACAGACACAGCCAGGGTGACACAGTGTTGTTTGCGGGACCTGGGGTTCCAGGACAAGGGGCTGGGCATCTAGGGAAGAGGGAGGAGGGGGTTGGGTCCTGGACTCCAGGGATCTTTGGGGAGCAGGAAGGAATTTCTCAGAGCGGAGGCAAATGTGAAGTTGCATTTCTGGGCCTGGGGGCACGAAAAGACTGGAGAACTCAATACCAAGGCCCTTTGGGGAAGAAAGAGCTGGGTCACCAGTCTCCTGGGTTCCCATTTAGGAATGAGCTGCGGGCCTGAACTCCTGGGTCCGAAGGAGGCAGCACGGGGGTCTGGACTCCTGAATCTGAGGAGCCTGAGGGTTGGGGACCAGGCGTGACTGTGACTCAGTCTCCCTCTTCATGTGAGGGGTCTGACGAGTACGGACACCAGTCACTGGTATGAGGTGAGGTGAGGTAACGCCTGAGGTCACAGACGTCCCCCTCGACCGTGCCCCCACATCCCTGTGCCACACGATGGCCTGAGGGTGAAAGACAAGCCGGATCATTCGAGACACCCCCAACTCGTTTCCAAAGCAAACAGACTGAGGACACTGGGCTGGAGGAGTCACTTCTGCCTCCTGAGAGCAAACAGGTGCTCTCTGCCCCCAGGGCCTGCGAAGGGTGGGGCCACCCTCTTCCAGACTGAGGAAGCCTGCCTCTGTGAAGAGCTGGGGCTTGCCACCAATCGCTCTCCCAGCCCC